CCACAGCCTAAGTATCAGTATCCTTTTCTGTAATATTAGGTGATTGGATGTGTGGATGGCATCCAAAGTTTCTTCCAATTCCCACATCATATAATTCTAAATCTTAAGTCCTGCTATATACTTCTACAGCTTTTCCTAACAGGAATTTCACTTCCAGGCTTTTGATGTTCGTTTCTCACCTCTGTTGTAAATTTTTAGCTTTTCAAGGTGGAACCTAGAGAAGGAATGGTAGGAATTGGTGGGGATTCAATGATCTTTGTGCCTGGGTCACACACTGGGTAGAAAGCTCTGGAAGTTGCTCCAGCAACTTTTCCTTCAGAATCCGGTCAGGAGATAATTTTGCCTTTTTATCAAATTTTTCTCTTTTCTAAGGATTCTTCTGTCTTCTTCTCTTACAACCATTCATCCTACCCCTAAACTCTTTTGCTGTTCATTGGCCTACACTCCTATATCAATTGATGTGACTGAATAATAAATATAATAATTACTTCAGAATAATTGAGTACCTACCGTGTACTAGGGAGTTTTCAAAACTTTTTATCTTAGGACCTCTTAACATGCTTGAAAGTTGTCAAGGACCTCCAAAAGCTTTTGTTTATATGGGTTATATCTATAGATATTTACTAAATTAAAAGGTAAAACAAAATTTTAAGCTATTAGTTTTAGCAAAAAATGGACCCATTATATGTTAAAAACATTTTTTAAGAATGACAAACATCTATATATTCAAAACAACAACAACAACAAAAATTAGTGACAGGAGTGGCACTGTTTCACAATTTTGCAAATCTCTTTACTGTCAGGCTTAACATAAAACAGCTGGATTCTCATGCCGGGTTCTTTATTTAATCTGCTGTTTCAGGGTTTGTATTCATTTCCTGGGGCTGTTCTAATAAATTACCACAAATACAGCTGCTCAAAACAACAGAAATGTAATTCTTTTACAGTTCTGGAGCCAGAAGTTCAACATCAGTTTCACTGGACCGAAATCAAGGTGTGGGCAGGGAAGTGCTCCCTCTGGAGGCTCTAGAGGAAAATTCTCTCCTTGCCTCTGGCAGATGCTGGTGGTTGCTAGCATTCCTTAATTTAAGGCTGCTTCTTTCCAATCTCTTCCCCTCTCTTTGCTTCAACTGCTCTTTTGTACGTGCTGGAATTATAATCTCCCTGTGCTTCTCTCTGATAAGACATTTGTGAAGGCATTTAGGCCTCACTGGGATAATCCAGGGTAATCTCTTTATCTCAAGATCTTTAACCTAATCATGCCTGCACACGTTTCACTATATAACATTTACCAGTTCTGAGGATTAGGATGTGGATGTATTCTTGGGAGCGACTGTCAGCCTGCAACAGGTTGTTATTTTGTTTGATGTTTATGAAGAAAATCTGGTCTCACACAAATATGTGGCTTGGGGAAAAAAGAGTATTAAATTTGTTTTTTAATTTTAATTTTATTTTAGACAGAGTACATGAGAGGGGGAGAGAAACAAAAGGGGGGGAGAGAGGGGGGAAGAGAGAGAGAGAGAGAGAGAGGCTCTCAAGTAGGCTCCACGCTCAGTGCGGAGCCCAACACAGGGCTTGATCCTACAACTCTGTCATTGTGACCTGAGCCGAAATCAAGAGCCAGATGCTCACCCGACTGAGCCACCCAGGTGCCCCAAAAGAGAGTTTTTAAATAGCCTTTTCAAATAATTGTGGATATTATTCTTTAGCACAACACTAAAACTCAACAAGAAGTAGTTTCTTAAAGGTTTGTTACAATTGTGGAATTTGAAAATGTTATCAGTGAACTTTTCTCACTGGGCTACATTAAAATCATTGGGATATATGCACTTTAAATAGATTCATAATTTTATAACATCATGCATTGATCATTTGGAAGATATTGGTTAAGTTAAACAGATCTTCCAAATCTTAACACATTTAATTATACATGATCAAAAAATAACATTCATTAATATCACCACCAATCTTATCAGAGCAGTTCTTGCATATTGGGAAATTAACAAACTCCTGGTACAGAAATACAGTTTTCAAAATTCTAATTTTCAGGTGAAAGCTTGAATTTTATCAGTGGCAACAAATTCCGTTATTTTCTTTGAACTTACAGACTTGCTGTTCATTTGCAAGATAACCATTGTTTGTCAGTACGTGAGGAAAAGTGGCTGGTTCAGCTTTCAAGTCAAATAAGTGTGCAAGTGCTTTTCCTTGAGAAACTGTGGCTGTGCATCAGAACTGTTTTATGTGCACTTCTAATTTTGTCACACACAATACACACACACACACACACACACACACACACATATATATTTTAGAGAGATAGAGAGAGGATGCAAGTGAGTGAGGGGCAGAGAGGGAAGGAGAGAGAGAATTGGGACTCACCCGAGGCTCCTGTTTTTACCCAAAGCGGGGCTGGAGCTCACGAGAAGTGGGGCATGAGCTCACCCAAATGTCACATACAATATTTAAAAGAAATGTACTAAAAGGTCGAGCTTTAATAAAATTAAGAACTCTTACTGCTTCATTAAAGATAGTCTGAGGTAAACTGGCTGCCCCTCGTCCCCCATTGTGAGCATGTGGTGGTGAAGAGGACAGTTTGGAGCCTCTGCCTTGATTTGCACCAAGGCGCCAGCAGTTTTGCCCAGTACTATTTTTATACTATTAGTGCAAATATCAGCACAGTTGTTCCAGGATAAACTATGAGATTTTAAAAATGAGTCAATGCTCTATTTTAGCACCACTTCTGTTTGCTGCTAAGCATTCATATAAAAGATCTTCAAGTGTTAGTTGGTGCTGACACTGGATATATACACGCAAAGCAACAAGTCTAGCTACATCTATAATTCTGTAATTTTTGCCCATCTGAAAGGCACTACAGTTCTGCAGATGAGATGTTACCTCAGTCTTGATGTTTGCAGCTCAAGTTCTAATTTGGTGAGCTACTGCATTTTTGGAAAGTAGCTTGGCCATGATTTCTTTGACTGATTTTTCACCTAGCAGGCACTTCCTCAGTAATGTACAGGCTTTCTTAGTTTCTCAGTTACTACGTGCACCTTTTCAGCCAATGCAATACAATAATTTAACCTGTAAGATGCGTCAGGGGGTTTTTCATTTCTGGTTTGAAAAGTGGTAACAAAACCCCTTGGCTTTTAAAGAGCCTACCATGTTTGAAATATTCAATTTTGCCTTTTCTTTTCTTATTTACAGTTTCACCCAGATTCTTCCCTTTACCTGAGTCAGAGAATGCTTTGATATTGATGTCAGTATCATCTTTTTCAGCATCTTTAGATGTGGGAAGGTTGAAAAAGCAAGTCTTCTAATCTCCCTTTTGTAAGCCAATGAGAGAACCTAAAGTAAAAAAAGGGTATAAACAAAATTTTAATTTAGAATATTAAATTCTCAAAGAATAAGTTTTAAATAAAATTTAAACATTTATTTTTCAATAAATTAAAAACTATTGCAAAAAAAGTCTCCAAAATGAACTTTTTTTTTTTTTTTTTTTTTTTTTTTTTTTTTTGAGATAGAGAGCAGGGAAGAGGGGCAGAGGGAGAGAATCTTAATTAGGCGCCCCACTCAGAGCAGAGCCTGACATGGGGTTTCAACCCACTACCCTGGGATCATGACCTGAGCCAAAAATCAAGAGTCTGGTGCTCAACCAACTGAGCCACCCAGACTCCCTGACAAAATAAACTTTTTTTCTTGTGTTTCCACATAGGTACAAGGACAATTTAGGGTTTTCAAAAAGCCATTTATAGGACGATTGATGAGGTTACAGAAATTAAGTATAAAGGACGATAGCTTGTAAGAACACACTAGATGCACTAAGGACAAACTGAGTTAATCTCAAAACGCACATATTTATACCCTACACCTTAGAAGATTCTAGAAAACAGAGGAGTACTCAAGCACACATTTCACCAGTCAACAGAGCTTTTAAGTCAACTATCCTCTTGAAAACTTCTCTGTATACTCCCTAGAGGACGAGAGCTAAAACAGCAAACAACTTTTAAATAATATTAGGCATACAGTTTGACTTCGTGGATCTCTTGGAAGGCGGTCAGAGACCCTCAGAAGACACCAGAGCACATTTTGAGAACCACCGTACTAGATTGTGCTCTAGGTAGAAACTGGGGTAACGTCAATAGCTAAAATTCCCGCTCCACGCGGAGATATTTATGTAGTAAGAACCGTGATGAGTTGTCAAATGAAAATGAACGGAAGGTTGTGACAGGGTAGGGCAGGAACACTCATCCTTGTCTGTCCGGCCAGGGGAGGCCGCTCCAGGAGAGAGACCTTCCAGCTGGCACTGCGGAGTCGGACTCGGTCGGAGGCGGGGGTGGCCGCGCGACCACCTGCCCTCCCCGGCTGTCTTCCCACATCCGCGGTGAAGAGGGGTGAAAGGGAAGCGGCAGTGACCGCGAGACCCCGGCGCCGCGGGCGCCCACCCCGGCGGAAGGAATGCGCAGGACAGTGGCTTGTCATTCGACACCACCAGCACTGTCAGGGCCGGGGCCCGCGCCGTCCCGGCGATCCGGCTTCGGTGCAGGGAGGTGGGCCTACTGCCCGCGGTCCCGCAGAGGGGGAGCGCAGGCCGAATGGGGGAAAGGAATGTGCACCTCCCGACGCGGTCTCGCGCGGCGGGGAGGCAGCTAAAGGGAAAAGGGAGACCTTGCAGGATGAATTGTGAGGGGGACCAGCCCCAGCGGCTACCTCAAGAGGACCCCGGGGTTGCCATCGAAACCGGACCATCCGGTCCTTCAATTCCTCCCCAGGACTTCACCCTCCTCGCGCAAGTTGGGAGAGCCGCTTCTCCCAGCGGACTGTCGCGCCCTCCGGCGGCCTCAGTCGGGAACGACACTGTACTTGTCCATTCTGGACGCGAATAAAGATTTCTTTTTCAAACAAACAGGAAGTGTCTACGGAGGCCGGGCCGGAGGCTGGGCAGGGGCCGGGCATGAAGCCGGGCGGCAACCAGATCGCGGCTGGTGGCGGCGGCGGCGGCGATGAGCGACATAGTGGAGAAGACGCTGACGGCGCTGCCGGGACTCTTCTTGCAGAACCAGTCGGTTGGCGGGCCAGCGGGAGTCAAGGCGTCCTTCTCCTCGCGGCTGGGCAACCTCGTCCGCGGCATCACCGCGCTAACCTCCAAGCACGTACGTACTTGCCGGGCCGGGAGGTCAGGGGAGCCCGGGGAGGCCCCGGCACTGGGAGGCCCTAGTCGGGCGGGAGCCCTCAGGGCTGGCCCTCCGGCGGGGCTTATGGACTGCTTGTGTCAGTCCGTCCCTGCGTCTGTCTAGAAGCGTGATTTTCCTTCCGGGACTGACAGCGGGGAGGCCGAGTTTCCACAGTGGATCCTCACACTGAGTCATTATTACCTGGAGCAGATCTCTTTAATCTTTGAGACTCCATGTGTTTCCCGAACGTTGAAGTGGAAAAGTACCAATACGTATTTCATAGGTTGTTTCGAGAATTAAATGAGACATCAAGCGAGTGAAAATACCAAGAACGATGGAAGTGTCAACATTATTTACCTTCTACAAAGTTTCTTTACAGGTTCTTTCCTCCAGTTATTTCAACTGCTGGACGTCACACTCGGGAACAGCCGCTGCCATCTGAACCGGTCGTTGAATATTTTTGGGGAGCTTGAGGTTCTTAGATTAGACCTACGGTGTGGGCAGAGAAAAAGCATAATTCTCTCTCAGTGTCAAATTTATTGTCTCAGCCTCAGTTGGGCTTTGAAAATGAGCAGTTATAATAGAAGGTATTAAGTTTCCACAGACTTTTGGTAGTCGAACGGATTGTGTTAGATACGGATTGCAAGTTTCAAGGAATTTATATATTTAAAAAAGATTGTGTGTTATGCCGTAATTTGTTCAAAAGATATTTGTGGGAGAGGTTATGTGTTAGACATTGAGGTAAAAGAGTAAAACAGATTTTCTTTTCCCCAAGGAATTGATCATTCATTTGGGGCTTAAGATAAATAGAAATAAGGGGTGCCTGGGTGGCTCAGTTGGTTAAGCATCAGACAGCCTGGAGCCTGCTTGGGGTTCTCTCTCTCCCTCTCTCTGCCCCTCCCTCACCCTTGCGCACGCTTGTGTGCTTGCGCATACATGCTCTCTCTCAAAATAAATTTAAAAAATTAAAAAAAAGACAAGTATAAGCAATATACAATGACGTATAAGTGCTGGGGGAGAGGAAATGGCGAAGACAGAAAGATTTTCTTCAAAGCGCTCAGAGGATTTAAAACATTCTGTTTATTTATTTTTTTTTTTGTATTTTTTTTTCCAACATTTATTTATTTTTCGGACAGAGAGAGACAGAGCATGAACGGGGGAGGAGGGGCAGAGAGAGAGGGAGACACAGAAACGGAAACAGGCTCCAGGCTCTGAGCCATCAGCCCAGAGCCTGACGCGGGGCTCGAACTCACGGACTGCGAGATCGTGACCTGGCTGAAGTCGGACGCTCAACCGACTGCGCCACCCAGGCGCCCCTAAAACATTCTGTTTAAACCGAACTAGATGACACTCTACTGGATGCTGTATTTCTGCTTCACATTCAGAAATCATTATTTATGGACTTATTATTGTTTTAACATTTTGTCTTTTACTAATTTCTGTGAGATAATAAGTGAAATCTAAAAAAATATTTTTGGTCTTTTAAAAAATATTTTATTTTCTAAAGTTTATTTATTTATTTATTTTGAAAGAAAGAGAGCACACGGGTGGGAGAGGGGAGAGAGAAAGAGGGAGAAAGAGAATCCCAAGCAGGCTCTGTGCTTTGCACGGAGCCTGACGTGGGGCTCGATTTCATGAACTAACTGAGATCATGACCTGAGGCAAAATCAAGAGTTGGACGGTTAACCAGCTGAGCCACCCAAGCACCCCTATTTTAGGTCTTAAATTGCAGTTTGAAACTGTTCATAAGCACTAAGGGCAAACTGAGTTAATCTCAAACTTAAGTTAATCTCTTTTTTTTTTTTTTAATTTTTTTTTTCAACATTTATTTATTTTTGGGACAGAGAGAGACAGAGCATGAACGGGGGAGGGGCAGAGAGAGACGGAGACACAGAATCGGAAGCAGGCTCCAGGCTCTGAGCCATCAGCCCAGAGCCCGACGTGGGGCTCGAACTCACGGACCGCGAGATCGTGACCTGGCTGAAGTCGGACGCTTAACCGACTGTGCCACCCAGGCGCCCCTTAAGTTAATCTCTTAATGTGGCAGTACTTCACTAGTAGTTCTTGATTAACCATCTAATGGATATCTACTAATTCATTGTGTGATTTAAAGATAGTGGCATATTAGCCAAAAATGGGGCTGATACTCAAGTGTGCTAAGGAGATGAAATACAGTGCAGACAGTAGAAATGATCACATTGGTGCATTTATTGTGTGTGAGAGAGATAGGAAGTGAGGGAAAGGATGTGAGGAATAAGGAGAAAAGAATAGGGAAGGATATTTTAGGGGAAAAAGACCAATTTCTGTTTCTGCCTTCTTACCCTATTTCTCGATTCTATGAAGACTTTTATTTATTTACTAAGAGTATTTATTTATTTATTTATTTATTTATTTATTTATTTTAAGCATATAATTTTTTCTTATTTTAGACAGAGAGTGAGTGAGCAGGGGAAAGGGGTAGAGGGAGAGAGAGAGAATCTTAAGCAGGCTCCAAGCTCAGCATGGAGCCTGACCTGGGGCTTGATCCCATGACCCTGAGACCATGACCTGAGCTGAAATCAAGAGTTGGACACTCAACTGACTGAGTCACCCAGGTGCCCCAAGATTTTTAATTTTTAAGTTATCTCTACACTCAGCGTGGGGCTCGAACTCAGAACTCCAAGATCAAGAGTCGCATGCTCCACTGACTGAGCCACCCAGGCACCCCAAGACTTTTTACTTTTAAAGGGAAGGCGTGAGAACCTTATCCTGGGCCAGTACATGAAAATTTTCTTTTATTCTTTCTCTCTAACTTTAATTAAAACCAAACCAAAACAAACTTTTTTTGCTAAACTGTCCTTAAGGAGACAGTAATTAAGTGAAGGAAAGAGAGATAGTGGATTATTCTTTCTAGGAATGATTCCAAGGTTTGGAGAAATGCCTGTAGGCAAATTTTAAGCACATGTAATTGTACTTTAACATAATGTTTATTTTTTATTGCAAGTATTATAAATTATATTTTTCCTTTAAAAAATATTGTTACAGTTTAAAAAGCCAGTTATTCATGTATTTAAATACTTTCACTTTTTCAGGAGGAAGAGAAACTAATCCAGCAGGAACTGAGTAATCTGAAAGCAACTGTTTCTGCTCCTACTACAACACTGGTAAGTTTGCATAGTCGGTACCAGCACATTTTATATTTGAAACCTGGTCCACTGTGGACACTATCGTGGCATCTCATTGGTAAGTTGCTAAAATGTAATTTATCATAGTCACAATTGGTTATGGGATGGTAGCAAGTCAGACATTAGCTTGAACTTTTTATTATTGACTGTCTGCACCTGAGTAAGACTTGCTTGACGGATGCCAGTTCAATGCCAACATGATGGTAATTACATAAATGTGGCGATACTCATGGATCCCCGTGCTGATCTTAATGTGTTAATATTGTACACTGAGAAAAGGTTACCATATATCATTTAAAGTAATATTTTCAGTCCTTAGTTGGTATATTATAGATCTCTCATTTTACTGTTATACATCTTGGAATATAGGTGAACAAAGTAGAAAAATGGCTTTCTTGCTATGAAACAGTATATTGCATGACAGCTAAATCAGATTCCAGTCTTTTTTAAAACTTCAGTTCCATATGCTTTGATTTTTCAAACAGCATTCATTCAGCAGCTAGTAATGAGTAGCCCCTATATTCAGGTCTCTGTCCCTACATAGTTAGATTAAGACCTAATAGGTTTCGTTTTGTTTTTTTTTTCTTTTAACTTTCATGCGGTTTCATATAATGAGATTTTTTCCAGGTAACATTATTCAGCAAATATTTAGTGAGTGCTTTCTGTGTGTAAGTCACTGTGGGAGTACCCTTCTCTTCTAATAAAAATATTGGGGTGATATTTTTCATGAACACATGATCACGTACATGAATAACACTTTAAAGTGTAAGAGAATGTATGTATTTCCTTTTATGATCATGGTAATATGTGGACAAATGAAACTCAAAGCACATTAATTTGATGTATTTATGTGTGTAAATGTATACATGTGGGTGTATAGATCTTTATGTGTATATATGTAAGAAGTCATTGTGATTTTTATTCGTGATACTTGATAGAAATGTTAAGCAGGGGGGCGCCTGGGTGGCGCAGTCGGTTGTGTCTGACTTCAGCCAGGTCACGATCTCGTGGTCCGGGAGTTCGAGCCCCGCGTCGGGCTCTGGGCTGATGGCTCAGAGCCTGGAGCCTGTTTCCGATTCTGTGTCTCCCTCTCTCTCTCTGCCCCTCCCCCGTTCATGCTCTGTCTCTCTCTGTCCCCCCCCAAAAAA